GTGAAATGGTGCACTTACTTGCTTCCTGGGTACCACCTGTTTTTTTTTTTGTCGGGACTGTACCGCCTGAAATGGCCTGGATCCTGTCGCTGCCGTTGCTGCTATCCGCTTTTGTTGTTGGTGCTGGGGTCTTCACTGCCGCTAAGCCCGTTTTTAATTCGCCTTTTTCCCTTTTTGTTTTTGTGGGCCTTTATTTTTATTTCAACCGGTACCGCTTTTTTTTTTATTTTTATGAAGGTTTTTTTTTTTTTTTAAATATGTAGCTCTTTTTTTCCTTTTTCAGAAATTATTGTCCGCACTTTCTTTGCACTTTTTTTCTCAGTACACTATTCAGCCTTTAGTTTTACCTTGTTTTTTAAGCGCCTGTACACTTTTTGCCACGCTTATACGCCTTTTTCAGTTTTTTATTTTATTTTATTTTTTTTTTTATAAATTTTCTTTTTTCTCAGGTGATTATTTGCTTTTTATTGAACTTTCTTTTCTTTTCAGGTGTTTATTTGCTTTTACTGAATTTTTCTTTTCAGGTAATATTCCGGTAATCGCTTTTTTAACCTTTTTAGTTTCAGCTATTTTCACGTTTTTCCGTCAATTCACCCACTTTTCCACAGTGCTTTTATTTAATTTTAATAATTTTTTGTATAACGAACCACCCTAATGCTCATTTTGAGGTGCCGCTATATAAGAATTGGCTATTTTTGTTTTTGTTTCACAGTGTATATATATGTTAATTTCTCAATAGATTTAGTTATCAATTTTATAAACTTTTGGTTCACTTCACTTTATATTTGCGTTTAAATTTGGTTTTTCTGTAATTTTTATTAGTTTGATTGTTTTTCACTACCGCTTGCTTTGCAATTAACGCGCAACTACCGGCCGCTTTTAAGTTCTCTTTTTGACTGTGATCACTTCGCTTTGTGTGTATGTACTTTTTTTGTTCGGTCGCGGGTTGCCTTTTAGCGACAAAGGACCATGTTGCTTATTGAGGGAGTAATAAATCTTAGCACAGGGCGCGCCAAGTGACTAAATCCACAACAAAGAAAAGTCTATTGGATGTTGGATTTAATTCAAATATATAGGTACAATTGTTTATTAGAGAGATTGAAGCAATACA